ATATATATATATATATATATATTCATATATAAAACATAAAATTATCAACAATAATTGTCAATACGTGGTTAAAATTTAAAAACAAAAAAATAAAGGGCATACATCACGAATATAAGATATCATTAGCGAGTAGTGATATTTGATTACAGAAAATTTATAATCGAATTACAACAATTAAATATTAATAAATAATGCGTTTGTGGTGTATGCCCTTTATTTTTCTGTTTATAAAATTATCATTTCTAAATTCTGATTCGTATGCAGCATTGGTTTCAAAACAAATTTAATCCACGCAGTAATTAACATAACTTTGCCGACTGACAATACTGCAGTATAGGATTCTATATAATTTCCTCCAATAAAATTTATAATATGTACACACCGATAAATAAGGTAACTGTAAATAACCGATGAATAGCCTTCCGAGGGTATACGGTTTGTCAATCGATCTTATTATTTGTTTAGATAACAAAAAATTTAATTTAATGCAAAATTTGTATATTGCATATAGAACAAAATATAAACTCTATGGAGTTTAAAAATATAGAAAGCAATGAAATTTTTCACATATATTTACTAAAATTGTAATCATGAAATTCTATTAAATATATGTAAAAAATTTCATTGCTTTCTATATTTAAAAAAAATAATTACATAGTCAATTTTCAGGCAAAGATTCTCGTGCTTGTATTTGATTTTTCAGCAATTAATTCGAGTTTTGCTAACTTTGTGAAGATGCAATTTTTTTCGCAAAACTATGAAATATTCTCACTAATCTTTTGCATGTTGCGCTCATCTCGTCGATCCCATTTGTGCCTGCAAATAGCCATCACTAAAAATAAAGCGCCTTTCCTAGTCGTCGATTTCATGAAGAATCGGTATTCCATAGTGCGGTATTCCTCTATGCTGTTCCCCATCGCCACAGGCGGATTTACATGATCGGCAGCCTCATGTTTATTTATGTAACCCATATGGTCAAATTAATACACGCCGCTGCGATAATTACCGATGCCGGACACATATTCGCCTCGGCGTTTATCGCGCGGTCACGCGTTGTCGTATTATTTATCGAGATTCATAATAATTTTATATTGTACTGTAGTTAATACATCTATCGACAAAGAAATTCACGTTTTATATCCATAAGTTAGAATTAATGAATTTATTATAATGCAATTTATAAGTTATAATGTAATTTTTCAATTTTTTTTTGCGATTCTCTAAATTTCTGTATCATGTACTGTTAAACGTGAGAGTTTCCGATCACAGATGGATCCCGCGTACGCGTTACTCCCTTCTCCACGTAGTTTTCCGAACAAAATTTCAACGCCGAGATAAATTTGGAACCGCTTCACGGATGTAACTCAACTACGCTCTATGTTTCTGCTTTAGTTTCGTGTCAAGAATGTGCGAGAATCACACGCGTGACCTTATGATGAAAATTGTGCTCGGGTATTTACGGGTGAACGTGGAATTTATCCTGTGTTAAAAGAGAGATTATTCGAAGTTTTGAATAATTATCCAAAGATTCGAAAAACGATCGAAATAGTTTTATCTTTCGGCTGTATGGTTACGATTAATTACAGTTATCAGCAGCCCTTTGATGTAACTTTAAATATTTTAAATAGCCATTGTGTATGTTTGACATATTTTATAATTACACTAGAATATATCCTAGTGATATCTTTCTTAAATTTTTAATTTATGTTGATTATTTCATTACTCTCATATTTTTCATTTATAAATTAATATTATTTCTTTAACAAGCATTGATAATAATTTATCAAATGATTAAAATAATCAAGAGCTTTAGCGATATAAATATTAAATCGCGTTAATTTATTTTAATGCGAATAATTTTATAATGGACGATAAAATTAATATAAAATATATTGCAAAATAAATTAAAATACATATATGTATAACAAGCTTTAATTTAAAATTCAATTATCTAAATTCAATTAATTCAAAATTTTCATTTTCATTGACAATCGTTAAGCCTGAAATTGTTTTAAGTCAACGTTCTCATTATTTCCGTTCTTATTATTTTTTTTTGTAATCGTTATTGTAAATATAATAATTTTAATATTTAAAAAAATACTAACTATCCTGCTCTAAGGAAAAGTATAAATCAACTTAGAACATAAAGCGAGAAAAAGTATAAATTAATTTTGAGATAAAAAACAGATTATTTAATCAATAATGAGCGAGTTTTTTAATTCATCAATTAATTTATCAATCGCATTATGCGCAAATACAACTTTTACAGAACAAAATTACATT